CCCCAAAACCCCAAAACCCCAAAACCCCAAAACCCCAAAACCCCAAAACCCCTGGGAAGAAGATTTTCCTTGAGAATTTAATATATAATCGAGATGACTTAAAGATTTTAAAGTAATTACTTTTTATATAGATTTTAGAGCTATGCCACTAGTCTACTTTAACCTTCTTGGGACTGTAGGAATAGTTCGTCAAATTTGGGAAGTGGCTTCTGAATTCTTCGAAGATATTTTGCTCTTTGAATCTCTTTTGAATCCTGTCACAGAAGTGGAACATGAGGATAAAGAGACAAATCATTCTCATTAGATTGTCTATACCTAAGAAAGAGGAAGGTCCGAAGAAATCAAGTCCTTGGGATTTGAGGAATTCACCAGTGATTACTACAGGCACCATCACACAGTAGGAAAGTAGAGAATTGAGAGGACCTGCGAATGGGATTCTTTTCTTGAGGGTTGTGTATTTGATCAAAAAGTAGTCCTCAATGATGTTAATAACACATGTAGTGAGACTGTGTGTGTTTAGAATATGGAATATCACCAAGTAGAAATTCTGCACGTGTACCTTCTTGTATGCAGTGAATAAGCCTTCAATCTTCATAATAGCATATGTGAACATTACTAGAGCTTTTCCGTACTTGTTTTCACCATAAAGCTTGATGAAAATATCGATATTCACTGAGTATACCAATAAGTGAATCATTAGGAACCAAGGAATATTCATAATAGCTCCTTTGATCATCGAAGTGTTGAACATGAGGGTGTAGCACATTGTTGGATAAAACACTCTGAAGAAGTCACCAATAATTGTTCTTTTAAACGACCTCTTCGATTCTCTGAGTCTTGACTCTATTGTCTTCTTAGTGCAAATAAAGTAGAACTTGATTGCAACTAGGTTTGATAACCAGGTCTCTCCAAATTCACCAGCCATCGTCACACGATTGAGCAAAAGTTCAAATCCAATGATGTAGAATATGAAGGCCATGATTGTCAGATTTGATATCATCTCTGTTTAATAATTAATACTTAATTCGCTCAGCGGAGAATTTCTTATATGGGGTTTTGGGGTTTTGGGGTTTTGGGGTTTTGGGGTTTTGGGG